AGCAGTCAGTTGGAGCAGTCAGACGATGAGCAGCCTGACAGGGAGCCAACTGAGCAGCCGGACGGTGTGTAACCAGACGAGGAGCTAGCTGGAGCAGACGAACGGTGAGCAGCCAGACGATGAGCAGCCGAATTGGGAGCCAGTTGGAGCCGCTGGATCGAGGGGCATTGGCTGCTCCGATGTTTTGAAATGTTTTCTTGTCTCCTTGAGCCTACCCGGGCCCTCGTCAAAAGCCTCCAAGCCTCCAGGCGACTCGAAGAGTCAGGCGGAGGGTCTCCGTTGTTGTTGGAGCAGATGGTGGCGTTGAGGATTTCGGTGGCAGCTGGCCGCGAGCCCGCAATCGATGCGGCGTCTTTCCGGTGGGGGCGCGTAAGCGCATCCAGTGGGTTTATCCTCCGAGCCTCCGGGCGACTCAAAGAATTGAGCGGAGGGTCTTCGCTGTTGTTGAAGCAGATGGTGGCATGTGTTTTCCCAGCAGGGGGCGCCGGCGCACCCATTGGGTGTAGCCTTCAAGCCTCTGGGCGAGGGGAGAGAGTTCCCCACGGAAATGATCATGCAAAAGACAAAGTTAGCCATTAGGTCCCGGCATGCCAGGTGCAGATATACCATATATTTATTGGATATATCAGAAATAAACTTCATCTCCTCATCGCGATTCTTGCAAAATGGCAAGCATTGCATGTGTAAGGTTTGGCCTTCGAGGATCAAACAAATTCAGTGGTACGAACATCAACCTCATCGTTCGATTCATCACTACTATACTCAACCATAAGCATTCTAGGATGATCGCTTGTAGACCTATGAACCTTTTTACTTTGACTCTCTTAAGCCAAAGCTTTTGACAAGACTTGGTTAATATTCAAAAACTCATAACTTTCGAGCCTCTCTTTAATGTATGTTTTCAAACCATTAAGAACAAGACCCGCCAAGTCTATCTCGGTTATCACTAAGATGTAACATCGATTTTTTATATCTCTAAATCTCTTGACAAAATCGGTGACCGGTTCACCATGTTTTTGCCTAAATGATGTAAGATGTGATAACTTAAGCTCATTATCGCTGCTATAGAAGTGATCATGAAATTTCTGCTCTAGTTACGACCATAAGAGAATAGGGCCATGTAGTAAAGCAGCAAACCATGAAAATGCGGTGCCAATTAAATATAGGGAAAATAAACGCACTTTCAATTATTTTATGGAACCCGCTTCACCCAACTGAGCTAGATATTGACTAATATGCTCCCAAGTTGTTTTCGTCCTCACCACTAAATTTTGCAAAATCGGAAACTTTATAAGCTTGAGAGTACACCCCTGCATCCAAGTGTTCAGGGTATGACTTTGGTACACGTAGCTCCTTACTTTTGGCTCATTTAGTTTCTTGGGACATCTTATTCAAACACTCCCTTGGTTTGTCTAAAATTGGGTCTGAGGTAGATGAAGATGCTTGTGTTGGTGGCATAGGAGCAACATGAGTACTAGCTAGGGGTGCAACTTCTGACATGGGTGTCGAACCATAATTCGGTAGAAGACGAAACATGCTTGTACTTATGGGTGGCGTGATAAAGTGGTTCAGCCTCAATGTCGAATTGGGCACACTCATAATAGGACTAGGGCATGCAGGTCCAGCCATAAGTTGATTGGTTTACCTAGGATAAAAATTCATCGATGATAACCCACAATTATAGGGGATTAATTGTAGCCTTTCATGATAAGTAAGAGTGTCGAACCAAACGAGGCGCTAAAGATAGAATTTATATTCCCTTCAAGTACCATCGACCACCGATACAATTCTATGCACACTTAACATTCGCTTTACCTAGAACAAGTATGAAACCAATTTGCGGGAATAAAACTAGAAGTACTTTGCGAGAATAAAACTACGAGTAATTTGCAAGATAATAAAAGTTAGTTATTTAGCAGAAAGCCTTTTGTAACACAAGAGAAGGATTTGTCCGTAGGCAATTGATAACTAGATCGGTAATCATTATTGCAATTTTATATGAGGGGGGGCATGAGCTAACATACTTTCCGTACTTGGATCATATGAACTTATGGTTGGACCTCTAGCAAGCATCCGCAACTAATAAAAATCATTAAAGTAGACCCAGCCATAGCATTAAGTAACAAGTCCTCTTTACTCCCATATGCAACAACCTCCTTACTCGGGTTCAAACTTCCGTCAGTCTCGCAACCCACTATAAGTGAATCTTGAACGTATTGCAACACCCTACAACGAAATCCCCCATATGTCCGCGACACAAAAGGCACCATTAGGACAACACCAAAATAAAACATACTATAACTCAAACCAATCACGATCATCAATCAACCCATAGGACAAAACGAGTCTACTCAAACATCATAGGACGGCCTCACATCATTGGGTAAAAATATATAGCATAAAATACCATGTTTAAGTAGAGATTACAGTGGGAATAGAGAGGTTACACCGCTGCATAGAGGGGGAGAGTTGGTGATGATGGCGCGAAGTTGTTAGTGTAGATTACTGTCATGATGATTGCCCCAGCGGCGTTTCGGCGCCACCGGGAGGGGGGGGGGGGAGAGCCCCCCCCTTCTTCTTCTTCTTCATTGGTCCCCCTAGATGGGAGGAGAGTTCCCCTCTGGCCCATGGCCGCCATGGCTCCCGGAGGGCAGGAGCCCCTCCGAGATTGGATCTCTCTGTTTCTCTTCTGTTTTGCGTCTGTTTTTAGACCCCTTCATCATTTTTATATTCCCCGAGATCCGTGACTCAGATTGGGCTGAAACTTTGAGGGGATTTTATCCAAAAATTATCTTTCTTATGGCAAAAGAAGGGCTGCAACCGACTTACGAGGGAGTCAAAAGGCAACACGACATGACCTACCCCCTGGCCGCGTCCTGTTGCCTCGTGGCCACCTCGGGTACCATCTTGTGTTGAAACTTCTTCCCAAAAATCACATATATTCCAAAATAAATCTCCGTAAAATTTTATCATGTTTGGACTTTGTTTTATATGGATTTTCCGCGAAACAAAAAACATGCAAAAAACAGGAACTGACACTAGGCACTGGATTAATATGTTAGTCCCAACAATAATACTCCCTCCATCCCAAAATTCTTGTCTTAGATTTGTCTAAATACGGATGTATCAAGTCACATTTTAGTATTAGGTACATCCATATCTAGACAAATCTAAGATAACATTTTTGGGACGGAGGGAGTATCAAATGTTGCCAAAAGTATATGAAAGTTGTAGAACATTGGCATAAAACAATGAAAAATTATAGATATGACAAAGACGTATCAATCGACAAATCATATTGTTGTTGCATGGGAGGTGCTGATGGAATAGGTAAAGTTGGATTATGGTTTTCTATACTAGCAGATACACCAACATTACCACTAGATGCCGGAGGCATATTTTTTCGAGCATTAGTATTTGCTATGAATGAATTATATATCATCTAATTACCCTTACTAACAAGACTTTCAATCAAAAAAAAATTCTCTTTAGAAATTTTTTTACTAACAGTGATTTCATCTAGTTTGTCATCGAGCGGAGGGAACTTGATGTCTCAAATGTGAGTGACGTTGCCTTGATAGTCCTTCCTAAAATTTGCAAGAAAAGACTGCAAATACTCCTCCTCGCGCTGCTTCTTGAGCACCTGATAACCCTTCTCGCGTTGCTTATTGTGTGCTTCGTAGGCTTGGCGATATTCCTCTAATAGTTCATCAAGACCGGGCTTGATGATGTTATCAATGTCAACTTCTAAGGGCTTGGGGAAATTTGACATGGTTGATGGTGATTCTTGATCTTCCTTCCCATCGAAGTCGCCAAAAGGTGTGTTTGCCACAAACACGTTACCGTGTAGCTCCGTCATCGAGAGCGGTATGTAGGACACGTCGCCAAAGGAGCCTCGCCGGGAGCGTGCTACGCAAGACACATCGGCAAAAAATTTGTAGACCCGAAAACTCACACATCCGGGAGGGGCCCTGCCAGGGAGTGCGATGGCTATGGGCTGCCCTCGAGGATCGTTGCGCTTCAACACAAAGAATGAACGAAGAACGAGAAAGAAAGAACAATGGAGAGATGTAAGGGTAAAAAGTAGTAGATGCATTGTGATTGTGTGTTGTTATTCAATCGACACCACTTATCTAATATGAGGCGGCTGGATACACTCAAACCCCATCCAAATCGTTAATTTCTAACCTAACTCGAATTGGCAAGACCAAAACTTCCAGTTCGTCCTGGAATATCTGAGCTCAACATGTATGAAGTAGCTCTCTTGCACTGCTCTTGCAGGTTGCATATGACCTCAAATGAGATGGTCCCAAAATCAAACTTAAAAAACGAATTCTTATGTTGAACACTTTTCCATCAAAGGTCGTCTTGAGGATGAATTTGAATCCGTGAATCTGTAAAAAAAATATTGGAACTCCAGTTTTCTGCGCATAGATTGTGCAAACTCTCTGTTTAGCCCGAAACCTCGCCCGGAGTTTTGCCCAAAACTTTGAACCTCAAATATGTGTAACGTAGCTTCCTTTAACTGCCCTGAAGTCACATACGACCTCAGATCGAGATGACCCCAAAAGCAAACTTGTTCAACTCGTCAAGGTGAACAGTTCTCCATCGGATTTTATCTTGGGGGAGAACCTTGGACCGCAAAATCATTAAAAGATATTCTAGGGCAAACTTCAGCAACACACTATTTTGACTCTCGAGATTGTATACAAGCTCGGATGAAGATGACCCAAACATCAAAATTGTTCACTTCGACGAAGATTTCTATTGAATACTTGTTCATTTGAGGCCATATTAAATATGTTTTCTGCCATGCTAAAATCTGATGTCCAACAAACCGGTTCATGTCACCCTGAGACATAGGGGTGCCATAAATAGGGATTTCCTTGGATGACTCTGTAAATAGGGGAAGGCAGCCGGGTCACGAAAAAAAGGGAGAAGACAGGCCGACTATGGCCTGTGTACTGGGCCTAATGTGGTGACCCACTCAAGCTCAGCCCATGCTGCCAGATTCGAGTGAACTGGCTCCAACTAAGCTGATTCCCCATTCCCCGACGAGCGAGTACCTTCCCCGTCCTCCGCCCCACCTCCCTCCCATGGCCTTCTCCCCGCGCTCGCCGTGGTCGCGCTCCAAAAAGCCCGACATCTACTCCACCGTCGTGGTCCACGACGACGAGGACGACGCCCGCGGCGGCGGCGGCGCCGCCCGCGCGGAGGATGACGACGACGACGACCCCTCCGCGCTGCCCCCGCTCCTCCAGCGCCTCCCCAAGGACTTCGGCGGCGCGTCCTTCGACGACGACGACGACCCCTATTCCTCGGACCTCGACGACGCCTCGCTCTCCGCCACCGTCGTCATCAAGCGCGGCGCCCCCGCCTCCACATCCTCCTCCTCCCGATCCCCGTTCCTGGATCTGCGCCGCTCCAGCCCCCGCGCCGCCGAGGCCGACCCGTATTCCACCTTCGTCGTCCACGGCACCGGGCGCTCCGGCGGCGCCTCCAGCCCGCGGGAGTCCGTCTCCGGCACGTTTATACGCCACTCGGGTGGCCCCCCCAGCCCCCGCGAGTCCGTCTCCGGCACATTCATCCGCCACACCCGTGGCTCCTCCAGCCCCCACGAGTCGTTCTCCGGCACGTTCATTCACCACACCAGCAGCGCCTCCAGTCCACGCGACTCCGCCTCCGGTGCCGGTGCTGGGTTTGGGTCCTCATTCATAACCCCTTCGGCCGGGCAGGCGGAGGAGGACCGGCAGCCATCACTTCTGATGCAGCAGCAGCAATCAAGGCGGAAGGCATCAATGAGCTCTTTGCCAGATAGTGTTACTAGGGAGGATCCTTCAACCAAGTATGAGTTGCTCCATGAGCTCGGTGCGTCTCTTGTTCTGAAATTAATATCCCCTTTTCTATATGCACAATAATGCTTCCACATACTTTTTGAGGTATTTGCATAACAAACAATTCAATTGGGCAATGCAGGGAAAGGTTCATATGGTGCAGTGTACAAGGCGAGGGATCTCAGAACGCAGGAGCTTGTAGCTGTCAAGATCATCTCCTTAACAGAAGGGGTCGGTTTCTTTGTTGATACTATTCTGTTAAGGTTGCAAAGATCATCATTATCAGTTAGCAAGCATGTCCAATTGACATCACGATATGTCCATTTATAACTTATATGAAATGAAAAGCTCAAATCAAACATGCTGTCTAATCCTTTGAAGACGAGTGGACAAAAATGCATGCCTATATGCACCACATCTCTTCTCAAATGTTACCTGTTGTTAGATTGCAATCCTGGGCCTGAATACTCATCCATGTAACATATATATCTAACCACAAACATCCAGAACTTTCTAGAATGAAATGGTAGAAGATTACATTGGTAATCGATCTGTCCTTGTTACTTTGATGAACATTGGAGGATGGCACTGGAGTATGACAAGGATGAGAAAACCTAGATCTTTCATCAACTCTTTGACACACCAAAAACATGACAGAACTTCACTCATCCATCTTGTCAAAGCTTTCAATAAGACACTCATCATAGTTAATAATTTCAAAAGACTTTGGATTTAGTGTTAGGCAACCCCACAATAGGAATGGTAATTGGTGTTACCAAAAGCATGGTACATTTTTAGTGTTGAATCCTTATTAAATCACTGCATTAATTGAAAACAACATTTCTGTTTCTGCTCATGGCACATATTATCTTGTTAATCTATATTTGTATAAAATAATATTTTAAGTATCAGCACAGCAACAAACTGCGAGGATGGGAACACAAACATTTTTAACAGACAAAGTTTTCTAGTATTTGCCTTTACAATGTTTCCACTTTCGCCCAGTCTCTACAAAAATAAACCCCGTCCCACCCCACTTACATATTTGACGTGAACATACGATCAAGCATTTAATTCGCATGATTGAGATTTCGGGAATGCTAATGAAGGTACCCTGTGAAGCGGTCACGCGTCATTAGCATCCAAATTACGAATGGTTGTCACCATATATTTATCATGGCGAGTTCTTTTAAACTAGACCCATTTGGATATGTTTGAATGAAAATTTTCCCTATGGCATTTTTGTAGCGGATCTAATTTCTTAAGGTGCCATGATTATGCACAGAAGGAACCATGGGTCAGCACAACGGCACTACTTTGACCTATGCTCCTCTTTCATTATCAATTATAAAAATAGACGCAGAAGGCGCCATAGCTTGACGCTGCTGGTAGCAGGCGCTACACTGAACGTCGCCTTGAACTAAAAATACAAGTAAAAGACTGAGAAGCCAGGAAAATGAAAGAAAACCAGCAAACCAGAAAAATGGAAGAAAACAACAAACCTGTAAAACCAGAGGCGGGTGTGTGGTTTCCTTCCTTGGGGCACGTGTAGTGCGGGTAGCGTGCCCACGCAGTCACTCCGCTCCTTAGTTGCTTGCTTGAAAGTTTACACTCATAAAAATGAAATGTGTCTATTTTCTGAGCCTTCATTATTTGTCATCAGGAAGAAGGATATGAAGATATACGGGGAGAAATTGAGATGCTACAGCAGTGCAGCCATCCAAATGTTGTGCGCTACTTTGGGAGTTATCAAGGAGAAGAATACCTTTGGGTATACTCCAATATCCTTTTTTTATTAACGTTGCATAATAAATGTAGTATTCTATTTTGGCAATATGTCTCTAGTCAACTCATTAAACTGTGGTTGACGTGAGCTTCTACATGCAGATAGTTATGGAGTATTGTGGTGGTGGAAGTGTTGCTGACTTGATAGGCATTACAGAGGAGCCTCTTGACGAACCGCAAATAGCTTATATATGTCGAGAAACATTAAAGGTTTCTATTTTCTTCTGACACACATGCACACAGTCTTAAATTGCTACTTATATTGCATTACATGTTTGTTATAATACCTAATTAGGCTAGAACTAGGAAGCATGCTACAGTTAGCCTCTAGAGAGATAGAAAACCTCAGCTGCCCTGTGGTGTTTATCTTCAGATGTTTTACTTTTACTTGCATATTTTCTGCTGTAGGGTCTTGCTTACTTGCACACAATTTTCAAAGTTCATAGAGATATTAAGGGTGGCAACATTCTACTGACTGATCAAGGCGAGGTGAAGTTGGGTAAGTACAGTTGTTACCTGGTATGCTTTAATTTCACTTGCTAGCAATTATTTGTATATGCTTTTGCTTGCGAATTCGGCATGGTATCTTATTGGATGATGTTTGGAACAGGCGATTTTGGTGTTGCTGCCCAACTAACAAGAACCATGTCAAAGCGCAACACGGTATTATTTCCAAACATGTTTGTTGTTGCTATTTTATATATCCTTAAGACAGATAGAAGTTTTCATCGTACTTGACCATAAGAATCCCCATATTTTCATTGTTACTGATTAGTATGGTAAATTGATGGGAAGTTTGACCATAAGTTTCTGTTAGACAAGTATTACATGTATCTGTTTCTATTTGGTACTGCCTATGTTGGCATATACCAGCTTGCTTGTCACTATTGCTAACAAAGTAATCTAGTTCGCATAAACAGATATCTGAAAAAGGTGTCCAAGTTGATGGCAAAATAACTCCCTTAGCACAGAACATCGTTTTACTAACTAAACTTAGCCTGGAATGTCATATCCAGACAAAAACTTTGTTGTGTCAGTGTCCTTGAAGCACAAGTTTGTATTGGCAACCATGATAACTTTCATAATCTGGTGCATCATGTTTATGTCTTTCAGTTCATCGGTACTCCACACTGGATGGCGCCAGAGGTCATTCAAGAAAGTCGTTATGATGGGAAGGTTACATCTCCCTCCCTCTCTCCTTCCTCCCTCTGTCTTAAAGCAATATTTCTGGTGCGGTAAGCACCAAGCACATCCCTGTGTATAACTAAACTAGCAATGCTAGATTAAAGCAATATCTATGGATTTTGCGTTAGGGCTATTCTGTATAATCATTACTCAGTAGGAATTTGTTAAAGTTTGGTATAATTTTACCCTGCAAAAATAGAAGTTTGGTATCATTTTAGTGTAAATTTTTGTTGAACTATTTGAGATGAAAGCTAAACCTGTAGCTCTGTCGGCATAGAAGGTACTCAGTATCAAGTATTATGTAAAAGGGCAGCCCGGTGCACGTAGCTCCCGCTTGCGCAGGGTCCGGGGAAGGGTCCGACCACTTTGGGTCTATTGTATGCAGCCTTTCCCTACATTTCTGCAAGAGGCTGTTTCCAGGACTCGAACCCGTGACCTCATGGTCACAAGGCAACAGCTTTACCGCTGTGCCAAGGCTCCCCTTAAGTATCAAGTATTCTGTATTTGAATAAAAAGCTAAAGAACCCCTATCCAAACATACAAGTCTTCTCTTTTGTTCATCTCTTGGTAGTTCCTGAAGTAACAATTTTCTGACCTGACAGTGCTACAAAAGATACAAATTTATAGCATCGAGAAAACATCTGGCAGTTGGATTTTCTGTGCAACTTATCTTCCTGATATGTCAGTGTTGTCTATTTCCAGGTAGATGTTTGGGCTCTTGGTGTGTCTGCAATAGAGATGGCAGAGGTAGAAAATGTTCTTTGGTTCTTCCTTTTGTAACTGTACAGTTATGTTTTTTATGCCCTTTTTTGTGATGCATCTGTCAGTTAACATTTTCTTTTGGTCTCTTTGACTGTAGGGCATGCCACCGAGATCCACTGTGCATCCAATGAGAGTAAGTGCATGGCTTCTTGATTCCATTTACTATTTAGTATCTCTAGTTGATACACATGTAGCTGCATGAAAGCTACTTTACCTTTGATACACTGTACCTTGAATCCCTTTACATTTTCGCCCATCTTGGTTTCTGAACTAGGTTTTCCTGGTAGCAGTTCTTTTCATATATATTTTCTTCAATCATGCTCTGTGCATTGTTTTTCTTCATTGACCTAGTTTGTAGTAGGATCACTAACGTGGTATATTTTTGATATTGTTGTTGGTTCCTGGTGTGTCTGCTTCCGCACTTTATTTGGTCAATATCGGATGTAACTGCCTTTTATTGGTGTGTATGTGTGCCATCCTCACTTGACTTGATCCATTAGCTAATCGTATCCCTGTCCCCCTTCAGGTGATCTTCATGATATCTAGTGAACCTGCACCGATGCTGGAGGATAAGGAGAAGTGGTGAGTGGCTTCTAATATACCTGGCAACTTTTCGACTTCTCTGAGTAATGGAAAACTAAACTGGACCGCTTGTAAGATAATCAATTGTTGATTACCTCAGACATAGGGTTTTAGGCCCAGGTTTCCTTTAATCTACCAAGAAATTCCGAGAACGCCATCTGAGATTCATACTACTTTTGTTTGTAAACTAAGTGTTCTTTTTTTTGTTGGGAGATATTGACATGACTTTTTTGGCTAATCCCTGGATGAGGTGTAGCTATCGTTGACGTAGGATGCAGTTTGTCCAGTACCAAACTTGATACTGTAAATTCTGTAATAATCTGGCTATAAATCGACATGCATGTTACTGGCTACTAATGCATTACCAGTCTTCAAAACCAATGCAAGATCAGTTGTGATGCTTAGGCCTTGTACAATGCTAGATGCTTAGAGAGGTGCTTAGAAAAATAAACCGGGTTTTTCTGAAGCACCCGTGCCTATTTCTACAGGAGAGGCGCCTAACTAAGCGTCTACCCTCTACAAGTAAGCACCGGTGCTTAAAGAAACACTGGTTTATTTCTCTAAGCACCTTCCCTAATCGCCTTGCATTGTACAAGGCCTTAGTTGTGTTAGTTATACAAGCAAGACACGGAACGTCAACAGTAGCCGTCATTTCTTCTTCTTGTTTATTTATTCCTCTATCAGATTATCACTCTTGTAATGTGGAAAAGGTGGCAATGACATATTTTTGCCCTGACCTGTTAAGATCTCGTGGGTTTTCAAACACTAAGTCCCAAACATATGTCAGATTGTGAACTAGCTTAGAGCATGAGGAAAATATAGATTTATTCTATAAGAGGGAATCACAATGCTATTTTCTTTAATTTAGTTTATTGTTTTGCCAATCCACCACTTCCTGCTAATACTGATTTATTAAGTTGTGTCATTTAGTCAAGGCACACCAAAATTTTGAGCTTAATCCAATGAAGTGCTTGAGTTTTAAACACCGGTTGGTCTAAGCTCTTGTATCCTACCCTCCAGGTCTCTTCTCTTTCATGATTTTATTGCCAAGTGCCTAACAAAGGATGCAAGACTCCGGCCTCCTGCAATTGAGATGCTGAAGGTACTTCTTTAGTGCTCAGGGATAACTTTGTGAGGCATCTTTATGATTTTTTATTTCTATATTTATTTATTTGTGTTGTTCTCATTTTTTAAAATTGTCCTGCAGCACAAATTTATTGAGAAGTGCAACACTGGAGCTTCAAAAATGTTGGCAAAGATCAAGGAAGCAAAAATCATCAGAGAAACAGCTGCACAAAACCAGCTGCCTGACTCTGATGATGTAAAACAATCTCTTCTATTGTTATGTGTATGTACGTCGGTTTGGTCATTATGATATTCTGACTTCGGTATCTACAGGCAATGGATGCAACTGTTCGAATTAATGAAGATTATGGAGAAACTGTTCCGACAAACTCTCAGTCAACTCATGAAACAAAAAATGATGGTTCGGGAGGTAATGATAACTGTGCAAGCATAGAGCATGGGCATGTTCCACACTCAATGCATCCATTTCACCAAGTACCAGATTTGCTGTTATCCTGGCACTGTTTCCTCGTCATGTTGTCTTTTGAGTTTATTTGTTGGTTCTGTTCTGCCACTAGGTATGCTAATGGTAAATAGCGACCTGATACATGATGCGTAGCGTGTAGGTTTTTAACTATTAGTTTTGTGAGCATACATGAGTTGAACATGATACAGCTCAGGTGGTGACCTGCTGCCTGCTGGTGTCGTTTCATGTATCTAGTGTTGAGATAGCTTCTTATAATGCTTTTCGTGGTATTCTGGTGGGCAGGATTTTAGTTGTTTCTCAGATGGGACGCTTCAAAGTATAGGCGTTGTTTAGTATTTTGTTGTCTTGTGTGCTATGCATCTGAAACCAGCAATTAACTTCTCTCTTTATAGGCGATTTTGGCACAATGATAGTCCATCCTGAAGATGGCGATGAAGCGGCCGAATCATCTATTTTCCCAAGAACAGAGTTCATACCGGGCCTTGGTAGCATCAACTCTTTCACGCATGATCCAAAGAGGGCTGAGCTTATTTCAAAATTTTGGTACGAGATTTTCTCGTGTACATCTGTCATTCCTAGAAAGCAAAACAAAACAAGCAAAACCTATCTCTCGCCAGAAAGATTCTTATGTATGCTATTTTGATAGGGCGGAGAGCACAGCTGATAGTGATGCCAGTAAAGAGCGGGACTTGTATGGACTTCCTGACATCCAAGAACCTAAAACAATGCCACGTTCAACTGGAACAGTTAAGCAGCACAAGGGCGCAGAAGGGACTGTGCTGCGCCATGATATCACTGCATCACCAGGTGTTGCTAGCACAATGAACAAATTAAGCAGCAGCCCAAGCCGTAAAGCATTTTCGGTTCAGGATAAGGTATACGCTTTGCGGTCAAATATTTTTCTATATGACTCTTTAGCACGCCAGATAATTGTTGCAATTGCATGCTTCCCCGTTTGACCCCACTCCTAAAAGTGTCAACAAAATTCCTTTTGTAGCTCTGGTCAATCTATGCGGCCGGAAACACCGTGCCTATTCCATTTCTTAAGGCTATTGACATTTCACCACTAGCTCTAGTATCGGATAGCGTAGCAGGCAATGGCCCTGCTGGTTCAAGCACAACTGATGCCTTGGAGGCAGTCAGGGAGCTTTTCAGTGGCGACGGGCAGGCAAAGAAAGGGCGCAAAGGGCAAAATGAGGTATGCTGTAGACTGTTCCGCTCATCAGTTGCAAAGCGGCACTATTTCTCATGCCCAGATGTGTGTCTGATGCTGGACTTGATTGCGCTAGGCCCCTCTTCCTCCTGGTGTGCACGACAGATTAACGACAAGCCCTACATTGATGAACCTGGCCCAGGCTCTCGCTTACCATAAGACGTGAGTTGTTCGAACTACTTCTTTTTCATTAGAGCTTTCCTTTATGTAATGATCGAGGGAATGGTTCCATTAATATGAAAATGCTTGTCTGGTTTCATAAATACTGCAGGTGCTACGAGGACATGCCTCTTCAAGATTCACAAGCGACAGAAGAGCAGCAGACGATACAGAACCTTTGTGATACGCTTCGGACCATACTGAGGTTGTAGACGGATCCATGAGCGACGACTACATACATCTCTGGAAGGATTCGGCACGCCATGGTGCTGCGTGGAGGCAAGGGCTGACCTTGGCCTTGACATTTTCATGGCGGGCATTGCGATTCGGCTCAGCCTGGGGTCGTGTGGGATCAAAAGCGTGGTGCAGGCTGCAGGTCTGACGCTGGTGGAGCGTATGGCCAGTTTTCTGAAT